TGTCCGTGTGTGTGTGTGTGTGTCCGTGTGTGTGTGTGTGTGTGTGTGTCCACACTGTCCATGATCCAGAGGTCAGTGGGCGGTCTGTTGGATCAGTCGCGGCTGACACTGGGATGCTGTTTACTGGAATCATGACTGTGTTGTTTGATTCCAGTTTGTTTTTCTTTCTCAGGTTGTTACAGGAAAAGAGAACCGAGCTCATCCTGAGGGATTCAGACGTAGTGGCCAAAAAAGTCCAGCTTGGAATGCTCAGTCCAAACCGAACCCTGCCAGAAGAGCATTTGGTGTCACAAACAGAGAGAATGTAAAAGGCAGTGTACTGAAAGGACAGCAGAATGCTGCCCTTACATCTTCAAACAGCGGCCCGCCACAGCCAAAACCTGATCTTAACCATGCACTCACGAGCACATACACAGTTGTTTTCTCCAAATCCAGCCTGAATGCAGCAGGCCATCTCAGAAAGCAACCACACACAGGAAACCAAGCTTCTGGCAAAGCCCCTTCAAACGCAGCTCGTACAGTTAGAGTCAGATCCAACAGCAAGCTCAGCCTGAGTGCTGCCTCGTCAGCTCCAGTGTCGGCGCCCAGCACCAGGATGAGTCTTGGACCCCTTGTCAAAACAAAAACAGGACTCATTCCTGCAGTGACGCAGCCAAGAAACACCAAATCAGGCGTGACACACGGCGCCGCCACAGCAGCTCGTCCCACCACTGCTCTTGTTGCTAAGAAGGTGCGCTGCAGCGATACGTCATCAGTCTCTCTTCCCCCGAGGTCTGCCTTGGGTGTTGGTTCTGCTGCAAGAGCTGGGAACAAACTTCAAGTGCAAACCAAGTATAACTGTAAACCACTGCTTGGTAAACATGCTCAGCCATCTTGTAGGAACCAGCTATCAAACGGACTGAAGCAGGCGGCATCCACGTCCCTCAGGTGCCCAGCAGCAGCAGCCTATAGGCCAGAGGGGAGAGTAGCAGCTCCCAGATCAGTCAGTCAGCCTGCAGACAGGTCCACAAAGCTGGAACCAGGAGTTAAAGGGCAAAAGAATGGCCAGCCATCTTCAAGGGCAGTGAGCAGGTGCAGCTCCAGAGCCGCTGGCAGGGTTACTGCTGGGACTGCACTGGGAAGGAAAACCAAGATGGGCAACGAGACAGACTGCAAAAAGAAAAGCTGCTCACAAAACGCCCCTTTAGCACACACAGCTACAACCAGTAGAGGCGCTCCAGTGCTGTCACAGACAGCGCCTCAACCTGCCAGGACCATCAGCCTCACCGGCCGAGCCACGCACCAGAACACACCCAAGGTCCTGGTCAGGCCCGTGCCCCAGACTGAGGGAAAGAAGCTGACTGCTGCCCAGGAGGACAGGCTGTAAGTAGAACAGTGCAGCTGCTGGTAACTGCATAGCGTGGAGTTATTACAAGGCACCATTCAGCCATAACTTCTCACCGTAGATCAGTTTGTATGTGGCGCTGCTGAACAGCTCAGTAGTGTGGGACACAAAGGAAAGCTGGCTGTAGGGCTGGGGGTTACTTCCCCAGGATTATGTAGACGTGATCAAACTTCATCACACGTCAGGGATGTCTCATCATGACCCTGTAATCTGGTTCAGGGTTCAAGGTCTTTCATTGGTCACAAACACAGCTATGAACGGTGTAACATGCAGTGAAACCTGTTCCACACCGAAACAATAGGAATAAGATCAATAAGACTAAGGAATAAAACACACAAGAAATAAAAATAAATATATGTATATGGAGAGAGAGAGCAGAAATAAATATCCAAACGGCTGGTTCTGAGGAAGCTGTAATGACTACTATTCTTGTGGGTTGTGCTGGTGGTGAGCGATGTCCCGGCTCGTCTCCCAGAGCACATCGTTACTGATGCATGTTGTTTTACTTTGGTGAGTATGTTTAAACATTTTCCACAGCAACAAGGAAACCTACAAAACTGTGTACATAACGTTTTTTTTGCTGTTTTGAAATACATGACAATGAAATAGTAAAATAACGATTTCATAGAGTTTAATGAATCGGACCAAGTACTGATGCTGATAAGACAGAACTGTCTAAGAACGGATACCAGAAATAAAACCAGTGGATACTCCAGACCCACATGCTCACATTCAACATGTGCAGCGGTTGGTTCAGTGAGATGCTTTTGGTCCGACCACTTAAATGTGGAGCTGGAACCGAGACCTGCCTCCCAGAATATGTGAACAGTATCAAGCCCAGTTTGTTGTGGAAACTCTCCTCTCCGTAGTTTCTGTCTCTTTGCTTCTTTCATATGAGGCCAAAATAAAGAACGAAGAAAAAACAAGTCATGTAAAATGTTGAGTGTTGACTCCCATGGTCTGTTTGATCTCAAGGAGAAAACTTCAGGAGTGGCGGGAAGCTAAGGGAGTTTCCTACAAGCGTCCTCCAATGCCAGCGAAGCCTGTGGTGAGGCGCACTGTGTCCGTGCCGCAGCCTTTCTGGACATCCATGGAGGAGGAAGACGAGGCCCACTCCCTCATCTCGGCTGTGGACAGATCCTTGGCTGACTGCATCAAGTTACTCGGAGAGGTACTGGAGTGAAGTCATGGATTCTTGACTTTTAAAACCTTCACATTACATCTGACTCACAGTTATGTGGTGAACATGGTGTGACTCTGTTTACTCTAAAGATAAGGCTTCCTCGCTGAAAAAGAAAAGTTTTCAAACCTGCAGGATTCTTTCCTGAAGGTCACTGAAGGACACTCATGTCACACGTCAATGTTTCCGATCATCAAACTAATTTAAATATCAGACACAGATAGCACACCACAAAATGCAGTTTTTACGTGATGATTTCATTTATTGAAGGAAAAATGCGGTACCGCCCCGTGGCCTGATGATCGAAGCTTTCTGGTGCTGCTGTATCAGGCGTAGAGCTCATCCTGCATCACAACAAGGTGCTGCTGAGGTGCTCTGTGTTGGAACCATGAGTTCTGCTGTCTATCAGGAAATCCTCCCAGACCGTATCCACCATCAGTTCATGACCTAAAGCCCACGAACAAGTCCACCTGAACAACAACAGAACCAAGGGTTGTGAGTGGTCGACTCTGTTCTGGGCTTAAATCAAATCGAGATGCTGTGACGAGACCTGAAAGGGCAGCTCATGCTCGAAAACCATCTGATGTGGCTGAATTAGAACTACTGTGCAGAGAGGAGTGGGCCAGCACTCCGCCATGGCCACGTAAGATCTGATCACAAGCTATCGCAGACATTTAACGGCAGCTATTGCTGCCAAGGGCGGCCCAACCAGCTACGTAGGGTTAGGGGACAGTTGCTTGTCACAGGGTGATACAGGTTTCCAATAAGTCGTTGCTTAAACACTGCATGTTGTGTTTTGTCTCTGTCTGATGTGAAATACATCATATAAATACCAGTTTGATAGTGTGAGAAATGTACAAACAAAGACGACATTAGTCAAAGACTTTATCACAGCCTGTACTTCAGAGCTGAAAGAAGTTGTCGTGTAAAGACTAAAGAAGAGCCTGAGAGGGAAGTTGAGTCGGTTCGTACGTTAGTTACACGCCGTGTCCAGTCACACCATGGCCTGATGTCGGCTTTGGTCTTCCACTGATAGCCTGGACAGCGGTGAAGGGGAAAGCTTTCAGACACACCCTCTGCTGCAGCTCTATGGTGGACGTGTCCTGATGCCCTGGTGTTCGGTGCTGTCTCCACCTGTAGGGTTGCTCTCCTGACCAGGTGAAGGAGGTCCTCTCGCGGTTGCCATCCGTGTCCCAAAAGTTTGCCAAATACTGGATCTGTCGAGTGCGTCTGATGGAGCAAGAAGGCGACCTGGAAGTGCTGCCCGTGTTCGAGGAGGCTGTTGGCGTTGTGCTGGAGGTGAGACATCTGTAAAGCTTCTGTCAGAGCTTCTACGGTTTGCTCTGCAGAACTGTCTAACTTAACGGTGTTCACATCCAGCTGCTCACCAAAGCTCTGTGCAACGTGCTGACCGCATTCCTTCCTCCTGAAACATTGTTCAAGTGTTTTTGGCAGCTTTCCTCTTCCTGGCCTCGGTTGATGTGTCGGGATGCTTTGCGCACAAGTGTACACATCCACAGAGGAAGTCAAATAGCGCCTCACCATGGTGCTGCAGGCAGAGGACTCTGGCTGGTTGAACCTGTTGTGTGTGATCATGCTCATCAGAGCTTCTGTGTGAGCACATGTATTAAACTGTCAGTTCAGTCTGCAGACAGCGCTGATGTTTAGATTGGACATGTATGCCATAAATATCAGGTTCTGTCTGGTGTATCAGGCTGGAAATCACAGAGCAACACTTGTTTGTTTGTTTCTCGGGTAATTCTCTGTTTTGCGGTGCAGCTCAGTCCAGATGTGTGCAGGACAGACTGAATGCATTCTGCTCTATGGTGACGATACACAGTCAGGATGGTGAAGTGCTGATCAGCACATATGAACAAGCAGACATTTGATCCACTTTGAAACGGTGCAGACGAAGGTCATGTGAAGAGTTCATTTGCTGAAACAGATATCTGCATCTTCACAGACCTTCAGAAAACCCACTTCTCCATCGTCTACCTGAGACAGCATCAACCTCAGTTATCTCTGTGGTTGTCATTTCTGCTGAGTCAGATCCACTCAGCTTCAGTCTGACTGATGTCATCTCAAGCAAACAACAACAAAACAAGTTTTCTGAAAATCGACAAAGATGGAGTTATCTGCAAATGAGCTCTTCATATATTTAAAGAGATGACGAATAAAACTGACAGCTGTCATTTTCATTATTAAAACAATAATAATAATAATAAACGACATCTGCAGGAAACGGTGCAGCTGCTGTCCAGAAACAGTTCAGATAGAAGCAGCAGCTTGCCTGTGCAGAGATCAGGCCGATAACAGCCTTTCAGGAGGTTTTAGTAACTGAGCGTCATGCAGGAGGAATGCATGGAAACGCTGGTGAGCTGCCAACAGTCACTGACTCAGCTGTAAATTCTGCATCACATCAAGATCAGATCATTAAGATAATAAGAGGTGATTGATTAGTTTTACCAGAAATGGACATCTTTAACAGGAAATAATCCTGAACACACAAACAAGTCCACCGCAGAACGACTCCAAACAGGAGGTAGTGGGTTTGGAACGAGCTCGTCAAAGAGATTAGTTCCAGTAAAATATTGGAAGGAACCAACAAAGAAATGTTTGTGTGGTGGGATTGTCAAAAATGTAGAGACTGCTGGACAAAAGTGCAAAATGTCAACAGGAGCAGCAGAAGCCTCTGAGACTTCCTGAGCTTTTCCACACAGGACGATGATGTGTTGATGTGTTTGCTGAACAAAGGATTGAAACACATCATTTTCCTCATGAGGCTGTTTAACACCTTCATCTGTCAGCACAGGTTCTAAGAGAACCGAACGTCAACAGAGCGGTCAGGTCCCCAGGATGGACTTCCATTAGGAGGTATGAGGAGATGTTGAGGCATACAAACAGATTATTATTGAGAACTAATGAACCTTTACAGTCCGTGCTGGTCAGAGCAGCAGACACATACGCTGGCTTCAGCTCTGGCTGCTGACTGGGTTTCATTTTCCTGAGAGACGAGGAGGAGGACTTTGTTGGCGTTTTGTTGTTTACTGATAATTCAGGTGAATGAGCCATGTGTAGGGAGCTAAGGTGTCGACAATGTCACACAAATAATGAACGCAAGTCAAGTTAAAAGCTGCTATGTGTTTGTAATATTCAGTTTTTTTATTATTCGTTCTTCAGAACGGGGTTGAAGGTGAATGCATGCTGCGTTAGCGGGCTCAGTCCTGGTACCGTATGGGCTCTGTTGTATTATCTGAGGTCGTTGGGTCAATAACATGTCTACTATGCTGGAGTAAAAAAAAAAAATTTATTTTTGTTTTTATTTATTAAATCGCGATTCTTTGCATATTGACACGTGTGACTTTTCCATTGCGGTTGAAGAAACCTCTGAGGACCTCTCAGAGAAGATGAGTGATGTCAGAGAAGCTTCTTCCGTTCTGCACTGAGGTTTGTCTTCACTGTCAGCTGGAGTTTCTTCTCCTCGTCAGTCATGCTGCAGTACCGGCTGGAAGTGAGACGGTGCTTCAGAGCAGATCTTAGCTAATAGCAGCGACTACAGTCACATCTCTGTTTGACTGCTGTCACTCAGCATTTATCTTCAGACCACCAGGAGGAGTCTTCACCGACCTGAGCATGGATGGAGGACGTATGCAGCCTGTCAGTCTCAGTGGCTTTAACATGAAATTGTGTAAATGTACCTTGATGTGGAGTTTTACAATACAAAGAAAACGACTCATTTTGACCCGTGTTCTGTGCTTCTGTTTGATTCCAGCCGGTGGATGAGCTGCGGACTGTTGTGTTTGACATTCTGAAGAAAAAGGACGAGATCCAAGGTAGCTGTCCTTTATGCCTGGAAAATATCAGAACCGGTTTGAGTTCTGGTTTTACTCTAACCCTTTAAAAAACAGGTCTGAGTTAGACATGAAGAGAACAAAATCCAATTAGTTTCCTGCAGCCTGAGCTCAGCCAAAACAGCAGCGAACATCCGACTCGTGTTGGTCAGGTGTACGTAGAGATAGCCTCCGCTGAATAATCCAGATCGGCTCCATGTGCTGAGCTGTTGGTGTTGGTGTTTACAGCCTGTTGTCCACATTCAGACAGCTTTACATCATCTTCATGGACTTTGTCATTATCAACAGTGAAATCTAAGTGACTTGTTAACCATTACAACATCTTCTTATATAAATGAGTTTGCTGTTGTGTTGTTCTGTCCAGCTGCTGAAGAGAACGAGGAGGAGCACGAGCGTATCTCATCGGCTGAGAGCGCTCCAGAGTGCGACAACAACCCCGTGGTGACACCCAAAGCTGTCCGAGCGCTCATCTGTGGGGAGAAAGGAGACTCATCGGTCGTCAAGTACAAGATCACAGCCACTCCTGGGTGAGCTGAGTTAGTGTTAGAACATCCAGCAACTGCGTTTTTGAAGATCTCCCTCTGATTCCCCGTCTTCTGTCTGGGTTTGGGTGGAGTTAGATGCTGCAGTTACAAGATGTAAATCCTAAAAGATAAGAAACTGTAGCACAGTGCACAAGGGATTCACTGTCTGGAAAGAACAGCCAGCGTGATTAGGTCCATTTGGTCCACAACAGGAGCTGCTTTTACCTTTGACATGTTTCGACTGTCCTTCAGTCTTCCTCAGAAACGTCACTGATGTCTGTGGTGACGTGTCTTCATCAGCTGGTGCATTGCCAGGCGGGTCACGCCTCCAGAAAACCAGCAGCTGATCAAGACACGTCTCCACAGACGTTTCTGAGGAAGACTGAAGGACAGTCGAAACATGTCAAAGGTAAAAACAGCTCCTGTCTGGTAAAAAAGAGCCCTAATACCAAGAACAGCAAGCATTGACTTCTAGACAGGAGCTGAGCTTGACTCTTAATATGTGAGTCACGTGTTGAATATGAATCTTAAAAGACAAATGTGGGTACTGTTTCAAGTTTCCATGGGGCGGCGTGCACTCGAAGTGGCACTTACTAAGATAGTCGAAGCATATTTAAATGTTATGTGACTGGATGGGATAAGCGATGCCATTTATGGACGGTGTAAAAAGAGGTGGAACCGTGATAGACCCCTGTGGCACCCCATTTCTCATAACTGTAACTGGGCTTCACTCAATGACAAGAAAATATGGGTTAATGTTACGTACAGTGAGGAATTTAGTTTTAGAGGTCAGAGCCATGTTTTTGTACAAGACTGTGAACGTGTTTGCCCGTCTCTGGTCAACAGGTGGATGTGCTGATCTGAACTCTCACACATTCAAGGTCAAGGTCACTTCTTAATACCCGTGGGTCGATTTTTTATTTATTTATTTATTTTGCAGAAAAAACAAGCGTTTGGCAGTCTTCAAACAAAATACACATTAACAGAAAGACAGGAGACAAAAAAGTGCTCAGTAATCCACCATTTGTCGACAGCCAGGAAGTAAAAAGATGAGATAAATAAGATCAAGATAAGGAACAGTAAGACACAGTACAAAACCAGAGGGAAATAAAAGAATCTCTTGGATAAAAACCAGGATAAGAACAAGACATTTTGATTTAAAAGTCACTATGATGATGATAAATAAACAGAATAAATAAAACAAAGTGCAGATGTCACTACGTGTGGTTGAGCTCAGTGACGGCGACAGGACCAAAGCTGTTGGTAGCGCTCTGTCCTGCACTCAGGCCTGAAAACCTCCGTCCAGAGGGAAGACGCTGGAATTCACCTGGCAGAGGATGAAAAGGCCGTCTGCTGTGTTAGGGTTAGTGCACAGGGAGGCTGGACCAGACGGTGACTCGCCAATCAGGCGACTGGACCACCTCACTGTTCGGTTCAGGGAGGTTTTCTCTGTGACAGAGGTCTGACCAAACCAGGCCAGTCAATACTGTTCAGCTGTGGAAATGATGGTATCCATCCATCCATCCATCTATCTATCTATCTATTATCCATCCATCCATTCATTATCCATCCATCCATCCATCCATCCATCCATTATCCATCCATCCATCCATCCATCCATTATCATCTATTATCCATCTATTATCCATCCATCCATTCATTGTCCATCCATCCATTCATTATCCATCCATCCTTCCATTATCTATCCATTATCCATCCATCTATTATCCATCCATCCATCCATCCATCCATCCATCCATCCATCCATTCATTATCCATTCATTATCCATCCATCCATCCATCCATCCATCATCCATCCATCCATTCATTATCCATCCATCCATTATCCATCTATTATCCATCCATCCATCCATTTATTATCAATCCATCCATCCATTCATTATTATCCATCAATCCATCCATCTATTATCCATCCATTCATTCATTATCCATCCATCCTTCCATTATCCATCCATCCATTGTCCATCCATCCATTCATTATCCATCCATCCATCCATTCATTGTCCATCCATCCATTCATTATCCATCCATCCATCCATTCATTGTCCATCCATCCATTCATTATCCATCCATCCTTCCATTATCTATCCATTATCCATCCATCTATTATCCATCCATCTATCCATCTATTATCCATCCATCCATCCATCCATTATCCATCTATTATCCATCCATCCATTATCCATCTATTATCCATCCATCCATCCATCCATCCATCCATCCATCCATCCATCCATCTATTATCCATCCATTCATTCATTATCCATCCATCCTTCCATTATCCATCCATCCATCCATCCATCCATCCATCCATCCATCCATCCATCCATTGTCCATCCATCCATTCATTATCCATCCATCCATCCATTGTCCATCCATCCATTCATTATCCATCGTCTCTACACCTTAATCCTCTGTAGGGTTGTGGGGGGTTGGAGTCTATCCCAGCTGATTCAGGGTGAAGGCAGAGGAGTTTAGCGACAATAACTAAAAATTCATAAAAATTCAGTCTCATAAAAATGCCACAAATACTTGCTGTAGATTGGATAAAGTTGAGCTGTAATGTCTCGTGTTTCTGTTTATCCTTCAGGGGCCCTCCGAGTCAACACAGGGAACCGGTGAGAGTCAACGGCCAGGAGGTTCGCTTCTTCACCCCGGTCAGGCGCTCGGTGCGAATCGAGAGGGCCTCACTCCGATACCCTGCGTCCCTCCAGGACCACGACCTCTGTGTGGCTTCATATGGTGACCTGATCTCTGAGGAGGAAACCAGCCCGTCTGTTGGCGACACGCCGATGTACGTGTACAGAGAGAACGAAGCGCTTCAGGATAAAGTGCTGGTGCGGCTCTTCTGTGACGAGGATGTTTAGCCATATTTGCTCAATTCATCCCCATCACTTTGCAGTTGGCACAAAAATATCTTCATCCATGTGTGCATACGTTGGTGTTGTCCGTTCTCAGAAATGAGTTTGACCCTTATAAAGACAGAGCGGACGTTTAGGCAGTGGGCTGCTTTACAGTGAGGTATGTGTCACGCCTGCTGATAGACAAGCTAGTGGGGCTTCTGCTGGTCCTTGTATTATTTTATGTCTTCAAATAATGCAGTGTACATAGCAATGTAAAATAAATGTTTTTCTGTTTAAACCTATAACCATAGTCCTGTGTTGGTATCTCTACACAACAGCAGTTATCCAAGAACAGAGGCCAGACGCTGTGGAAGAACGAAGCCACTTTGCTGTGTTGTGCAGCTGTGCTTGATGGAGGAATCTGAAAACACATGGATTGGATTTTTACCTCAACAGAAACTGAAACTTTACTGAAAGTGTTTGGCCTGCACACGGCGGTAGAGTGGAACAAACCAACCTGAAAGCCCTAAACCTGAACCTGAACCTTAAACCTAACCCTAACCAAAACGTAAACCCGTTCTGGAAGAACAACATGACACCAGCCAGGACAACGTGACAAAAATAGATTAATCAACTACTGAAGAAAACAAAGAAAAAAACTAACTTCGAAGGCGAAGCCCAAAGAAAGAGACTACAATCTCTACTCAAAATCAGAACAAACTCTAACCTAATGGAGCCAGTCAGAAAACAATGACACTGACCATGACTACAAGGAACCAGAGAGAATTGACAACGTGCGACGGTCAGCGCATTTAACTTCCCACCCCAAACTGCTGTGTCGACGGATAGGGTCAGTCACTCAGGGTTAGGGTCAGTCGGTCAGGGTTAGGGTCAGTCACTCAGGGTTAGGGTCAGTCGGTCAGGGTTAGGGTCAGTC